ACTTCAAGCCGAATTGATAATAGTATAATTTTCGTTTCCATAGTAGCTATCGCACGTTTTACGTCAATGACGAATCTCGTAGCAACGTTCCCCTTCCTTCGCCCCTGAACTTCGATCCACCGAAATATTTATTTATCGACCCATTGATAATTCGGCAGCGGCGATTCGTTTTGCATTATCGGTCGCGTTGCAAAATACCGATTGAAACTTTCCGATCGGAAAGTTCTGCGATTCCGCGGGCAGCGCGCGGCGCCGATAAAATGGCGGGCGGATAAAGGGAAAAAGGGCCGGCCGTTATCGGCGCGAGCGCGCTTATCAAACGGCACGGAAATATGGACTTAATTAACGAGATGCTAATCGAACCGGCCGATAATTTCAGTTAATAAAACGACGGGTAAAGTGACAGTGATCGGCGGCCCATTGCAAATATTGAAAACACCGTGATCCGGATCGCGTCGCGCCGGGTAATGACCGAATTAGCAACACTTTGCTTAATAGAGGCGCAAATAAAATGGCGATAATGTCGTCGCCGATACATTGCCGCGCGATGACGGGTGACGTTGAAATTCTACCGGTCAGTTGATTATGAATTTCTGCGGTGCGCCGCCGATTGATCAGAGTTATTGATGCGACGATGAAGAAATTTGTTCGCAGACGATCATCGTGATCGAATGTGGGGTTATGCGAGGTAAAATCGAGTTTTATAGTAATAAATTGGATGGATAGGGCTTGTACAATGATTAAGTATTTAAGAAACTTGATATAGTTCCATTGAAACATGTGTTTGTCGAACTCCGTACCGAAAGAAATATTTGGACGGTTTAATTCAATTACCATTTGAATAATTTTGTGAAGATTGACGTTATTAATTCTTATTTGACTGATCTTCAATCTCTTTTTCTGACACTGGTTATGTTAATATTAATCTAACTAATATTATAATATTAGCGATTAATTAACTACAACATTAGTAACGAATACTACCGTCAGTATCAATCCAAGGAGATTCAATAAAAATCTGAACTCCTAAATCCGTTTCCAAAAGTAACAAAACACCAATGACCATTTTGACAATGTAATAGAAAACAATTCTATAGCCTGCACTTTTACAAATGTCCTAATCTACTTGAAAGTTATTCCGTTGACTGGCCGGCTGTTTTGTTTTTTGGAAGGTAACGGGTATTCAGAACCCATGTGACGAACGGCTAGGCACATCGTTAAATGGCAACCGTGCACGCTTAAGGGTTAATTAAGCGATCCTCTCGGCTCGAAGGCAATTAATGTTGCACTGGCGTCTGTATAAACTTGTTTGGGACGCGGTCTGTTGCAGGAGAGGATGCTGACCCTCACGAATCGAGAGGTCGGGCTCAATTATGCCAGCCCGATGACGACACCGACGTTCGGGCATCGAACGGCGAACAGTCCATTGGTCTCTCGTCTCTGGTTTCGTCACCTGCTCGAGAGACACGCCGCGCACCGTTCCTCGCGATTCGCTTTTAGCGAGACCGTATATAGCGTCACGATCGATCCGTGGATCGTTTAACCTGTTAACCGCGGAATTTATTTTAAAAATCTACCGTGGCCCGCGTAATTAACACGTTGACTGCCGCGTCGGTCACCGATGACCGGAGCTTCCAAATTACTTGACAATAATTACAATTTGTCAGATAGCTAATGTCAAATGGAAATATTTCATAGCGTAAATTACTAGATAATGGTGTAACGTAAGCATTCCGATACCGAATAATAAGTAACTGTTCCTCTTCATCTTTGCTACAAAAGAATAAGCGAGACATAAAACTCTGAAGGTCTTCGTGGCAGTCAACGTGTTAACTCTTTGCACTCTGCAGGTTCCATTACGTACAGCTAATACCATTTACGGCATTAAACATCAATTCAACCGGAATGTCCTGTTCGTTTATGAATCCAAAGAAAATAATACATTTTCAACGTGTTTATTAATATTTACTGAATAATATAATGTCCATTGTTATTAATGACTTCTCTCTAGATATTTGTGGATTCCATTTTTGTAGTAGATTCTGATCTAATATTTTAATGAACAATTTTGAAGCTACCTTAAGATCATTGGATTTGGTACACGTAGGTTTTGTTCTGAGAAGGAAGATAAAAATGTAGGGAATGTTTATGATATACTCTTTAATTTAAGCTAGGGGTATTATGAAGATGGAAATTCGAAGTTTGTAAGTCAATTTGAAATGTTGATGCGAAATAATTGACTAATAGGAATCTTAATTTAAAATCTGAAGATCTTTTTTTACTTGTTCTTGAAGGTGCAATTAATTTGATATGACACGGTAAGTTTCGAACAAAAGGCTGTGAATTAATGTCAAGCATGTATGAGAAATGCGTACGAATCGTTGTTAACGATTTATTTATTGCGGCGTCGGTGTAATGGGAAATAAATATACATCGAAATGCATTGAAGACGAGACAATAAACGCGACTATTATTGCTTTGTTTCGTGGAGACCTCGTTACACCTACGAATACGTATTCTTCGTTTTAAACAATCGTTAACGCGAACCTCGAAACGCTACCTATATTTACCCTTCGCTTTGTGCATAACTATTCAATGCAGACTGTTTTAATTATCAATTAATTAATGCAACGGCATCGTATCCACCCATCAAGAAATGTCAACGGAATTGCCGTGACTAATGGCGCCGCGTAGCAAATTAAAATGTTTTAAAAAAAAATTGAAAATCGTTGTTTAATGGAAAAAAAATTCTAAAATGAAATTATATTTACTAAGTTCCTATGCTTTCTTATTTATTCGTTTCTCCCTTTCCTCGTTTATTCACGATACTTGACAATACAAATGTTTACATTGCAAAAAGAATGCAGGCACGACTGATTTTCAGTATTTCACGTGGCATCGACTAGAAAACGTTGAGACTAGCAATAAATAAAATGGGGAACAGATGACGGTACCGTTTACCGTCGACAGCGCAACGCCGGCCGCGAACGTGTTAAGCAAAGCGCAACAAATAAAACGTTAAACCCTCGGCTAACGCAACAGTCTATCTATGTTCCCAGTAGTGTATCTATCGGGTCGTCGCGAAAATTCGTTTCTTTTTGCACGCGGCGCCATTATTACTCATTTTTCCGCAAACAAACGGGGAGTCATCCGCCGTTGCTCGCGGACTGTCCTCGAGACACGTTTCAAACGTGTTTCACCCGGTTCCATATTTCATTTCTTGCGATGCACATATATAAATAAAAAAAGATCGAGTGCAAAATATATTTCAATCGTATTTCGAACGGAACAATACAAACCCATCCCATTCATCAAACGCAGTGCAGCTAGAAGATCATTTTTTCGTTGAAATATTTCGCGTAGCACGAAAAAAAAGGCAGGGAACAGTCATTGCAAAAAAATGTTCAGAAGAATCGTATGGAAGTTCGTTAATGAAATTATTCGAGAACGACAAGAAACTGCAGGAAAAAGAATTGGAAGTGGAGAGTCGTTGAAAAACATGCAGAAGAGAATTATGAAACTGGTAAGGTAAAAGTTGTACGCAATTTCGACGAAGAAGTTACTTGAGAGGGACAGGAAATTGCAAAAAATGGAATGAAAACGAGGAAGCCGTTGGAAAACATGTTCAAGGGGGTTTTGAAACCGAGGGAACAAAAATTGCGTGCGACTACGATAATGGAGCTGCCCGCGAAAAGGAAGAAAAAATGGCGGAAATTGATCTTTTGTTTTGTAATATCGCGGCGAACACTCTATTTTAAAAATCCAGTACTCCTAAATGCAAAACAATGTTTCCCTTCGGTTAATATAAAACTTCCAAGATACATTTACTTATTAAATATAATCTAGAGTCATCGAAAATTCGTCATCGGCATATATTTATTAGAAAAATTCAATACTCGTAAATGCAAAATAATATTTTCCTTCGATTAATATGAAACTTCCAGGATATAATTACTTACTAAATATACGTTGATGACGAATTTTTGCAAATGAAATAAATGATAGGGGTTAATGTTTCGATTGCCGTAACTATCAACAACGTATACATCATTATTTAAAACTTAATTTAAAAATTCTTCAAAACCAACAGTGGAACTCTCTCTGAATTCATATTCGAGTTGGTAATAAGCAAAATGGTGCACCAAGCCGTTCAATTTTCCAAACTTTTCATTTCATAATTTTCTAACAATCCAAGACGTGGCGAGTGGATGAAATTCCACAGTCTACTAAACAGACTAACGCGAACGTCTGCGAAAAAAACTTTCTCGGCATCATAACCGACCAAAGGAACAGTGCGAACGAGACACTGTACTATCAATCAACAAACAATCGTTACATTCACTGCCTGAAACGAAGCAACTGACATTGAACGAAAAATTCATGGTGACAACGAATGCTACGTCAACAATAAAAATCCATCGAGCACAATGCAACAATTGGAAATCCCGAATGTCTCGGGCACGAAAGTGTCTGGCGAGCAACAAGAAAATCCTCGAAAATGCCGCGCTCGGTCCAAGAAAAACGATGCCTCGGGAAAATGTCAATGCCGCCGGGACAGCGGTCTAGACCGTATAATTAGGGGGAAGAGGTCCAAAATTAAAAAATGTTACTTGGTTAACGTACTCTTTTTATTTCAGGCATTAGTGGTTCTTACTAAATTACTAAATTACGTATGCAAGTATATTAGTAAGATAAATAAACATTCCTTAAACGTAAACGTCATACGTCGAAAACGACTAATCGTTGGAAAGAAAAACTGAAACCGTTAATTTAACACGACTGCGTTACTTATGGTGATTCAACGAATACGCTGATAAGCAAAACGCCCAATGCATATGTAAACTTAGAAGACAACGCGATAAACGAGGTCATCTTAGCACATAGTAAATGATAAACACGCAACAAAGAATAAATGCGTTTTACTACAGTTTTAAGCTTTACATTAACATAATAGTTCTCAATGACAAGAATCGCGCTGCACGGAGCAAAGGAATATTTACAGTTTCCGACTCAAGAAAACCACGTTACATCGAACCACCATTAATCACTTTGAAAATTACATTAATCATCATCTTCCATTTCCAAACTCCGCCCTTTAAGAATCAACTCGCGACCGATACCCCAGAATCCTCTAACGTATATTACAATCCAAACTAAACCGCATCACATCGAATCACCATTAACTACATCAACCGTAACCTCCCACTTCCAAATTCCTAACAACCAATACCCACAAACCTCCGACCAAGATCACAATTCAAAATAATCCGCATCGCGTCGAGCCATCGCTAACCACGATCATCCATTTCAAATATC